AATTTATATAAATAAATAAATAAAATAAATATATGAAATAAATAAATTTTTTTGTTTGCTTTCGTTATTGAATATATACAGCGCCAATAATTGTTTTGCTTGTTTAATCATCACTTCGTATCACATTGCAATTATTGCGTTATCTTGATGATGTATAGTATACCAATGAAATATTTACCTCGATTAATACTAATGACAATAGACGTCATATATGTTACCTAAAATTATTTTAATTCTGCATGTCGATAAGGTGATTATTTATAGAAATAACACGAGTTGGTTAATAATCGAACGGTTTGCAAATATTTGATATTGATAAACGAAATCATACGTACAGAAAGTAATATTCGTATCGTTTATTTTCAATTAAAAGCTGACGAACCGTGTAGAAAAAACAAATTTATTTTAATGACATTTTTTCAACGGTAACCAATATTTTATTTAAATCTCCAATGAAAACCATATTTCTCAAAACGAAAGAAATCAAAATTAAAGTTGAATGAACTATTAAATACAAAGAAATCGATAAAGAAAAATAGCAAATCCGAGAAAGGAAATAGAAAAGGAAAACTTTCCAAGTTACAAAAGTTTTATCTGATTGAAATTTTTTAAAGGAAAGAAATTTAAAAATCGAGAATTTAATATGTAGAAGCTTTGTAGAGGTACGCCTACTAATTACCAATAATGCAACTAACAATTAATTATGGTCGACTAACAGAACCGAAAATAAGAAATAAAAAATAAAATAGGAAAAGAAAACCCAAATTACAAAAATTTTATCTAATTGAAATTTTTTAAACAAAAGAGATTTAGAAATCGAAAATTTAATATACAGAAGCTTTTTAGAGGTACATTTACTAATTAGCAGTAATGAAATTAACAATTAATTATGGTCGACTTGCAAAAAATTTCGTTAATATTATTTCCCAAGAATAAAAAAAAATTTTCAAAATAAAATTCCGATGATCAGAAAATTAATAACCCCCTCCCCCCCCCCCACCCCCAAAATTCCAGTTATTCATACTGGTTAGCATAATCGAAATTAAATTTCTGTCATCGATAATATACATAATACTTTAAATAGTCGATTTAAACATAAATGTTAATCATTCGCAATAATTATTATTCGGAATTATAATAATTACCGAAATAATTAAAAACAAATATTCCTTTATAATTTTTTTTTAAATTCCTGTGGTATTTAATTATACCTAATTGGTTATTATCCCTCATAAATAAAAATTATTTTTACTTCCTGATTTCTCCCAACAAAAATTTTATAGGTCACTATTATTTTAGACATTCAAATTCCCAGAATCAGAGTAATGCACGTTCGAGATCAGCTTGGTGGAACTTGGGCGACGGGCTTTTTTGCGAGCAGGATCATGCAATCGACTCGGATCGCCCTACAACTCGTCGTAGGAGTTCCAAAGACCAGGATAGTCCGTGAATTTCAATAACGCTTGAACGGCTGCGTTTTATGGCTGGGAAATTGCATTGTTATTCTCGCGAACGGCTCTTCCGCCATTTTCTGTCTGTTCAGGCGCGCGTGTGCATCCGATTCAGCTCCGTTGCAGATGCTTCTTCAAAGCGATTCAACGTCCTCGCTCTTGGCCCTGACACGGAAATTAATTTCGACCGTACAAAAACACCCCGCGAGCAGGTCCTGGCGTAATTATAACGTGTTCTCAGCGCGTCGTTGGACGACAAAGCTCGCGGAAATGGGACTGCGTGTTAAATCTGTTTAATCTAGTCTGATTGCGAGACGTATTCCGCCTTCTCTGGGTCCAATCTTGGGGGAAACGGAAATTTGAATCATGTTGCTTCTTATTTTTCGCGCGATATAATTTCGCGAATTTTTTAGCGAGTCTTTATTTTTCTCGCGATTTAATTTCCAGAATTTTCGGGTCACGTTGATCTTCATTTTTCGCGCGATATAATTTCGCGAATTCTTGGGTCTTGTAGATTTTTATTTTTCGCGCGATATAATTTCGCGAATTCTTGGGTCTTGTAGATTTTTATTTTTCGCGCGATATAATTTCGCGAGTTCTTGGGTCTTGTAGATTTTTATTTTTCGCGCGATATAATTTCGCGAATTTTTGGGTCTTGTAGATTTTTATTTTTCGCGCGATATAATTTCGCGAATTTATTTTGGAGACTTTTGGGACACGTTGATTTTTACTTCTTGCACGAGACAGTTATGCGAATTTGCTTTCCTTAAATGTGTATGTGGAATTTTAAATATCATGTCATATATATCTGTATATATCTATTTTCATATGTATTCTAACTTCTCTTGATCCAGTTAAGAGTACGTAGGATTTTATTTTTGGTGAAATTATTTTGCGAATATATTTTTTATAAATGTGTATTTCGATTTCTGACACAAGACTGTTTATTAAATTTATTTATTTTAAGTTAATAAGTATCCTGACTTAATAAATAAAATGAAAGTATACGTAGATTTGCTTTTTTATATTTATAAAAATAATAGATGTGAAAGAAAAAAGATGAGAAAAAAATTTTGTTTAAAATAAAGGAGTAATATTCTGTTCCACGTGTACAGGTAATTTTAAGAGAAAATTAGCAAATCTTCCTGGAGTTCGATTTTGTATTTCTATTTACCATCCCGCTTTCCCGAAATGCACCCATATTTACACGTCACTGGTACATTATTTAACAGAGAATTCTGTAAACTTTGCCAAACCATTTCATACTAACACTTTACTATATTTCATTATATTTTACTATATTTCATATATATATAATTTCGAACACATAATAAATTTCTAATTTCTAATAAAATCTCTCGTATCTTTTGAAGATTCTTACTGTCACTGAGAGATAACAGAACTTAATTACAAATTTTTGCCAAACAACTATGCTAATTGGATATAAAAATTGCTCCACATATGCACCAAGTGCGCAGCAGAATTTTATTAGCACGTCCAATAATTAAATTTACGTATCTAAATCCTATTTAGATTCTAATAGAATATTTTAGTTAATTCTTATGCACCACAAATAAAGTAAACAAAATAAATACATAAATAATTATAAATTATTCAATAACAATCTCCAAGTAATCACGAATTATCGTTATATTTATTATTATACTTAAAACAGAGTACTTAAATTCCACGAAACAATATGAAACGAAGAGGAAGAAGGAGAAAATAAACCGAAATAAACGTTTTCTCCCTATCTTTCCAGCTGTCTCGACGGAAACTCGGTTTTCATATGAAAGCAACAAGGGTTGCGAAACGGGGGATGCAACCGGCCGATCTTCGCACAGCATTTGCAGGCAACGAATAAGAGAGGGGAAACGGAGAAGAATTTCAACTAGGTTTACAGACTTACGTCCAGCAGATTCATCAAGGAAGCTCGTCTTCGTGGATCGGGTTCCGTCATGGCGGCTAAAACGGACTGAAGTGCCGACGAGGGTGAAACGGAAACCGTTCCTGTCAGCGCCGCGACTCTCGGCGTCGTGTCCAATAATGCCCTCCCCAGCGAGTACATCCACATCTGAAAACAACGAAATTCCACGTGAGGCTTACGTCGTGATGCTGTTCGAGAGATAACCGGTGAAAACATAGTATTATATCAGCATACCCCATCCACCCCCTCTTCCCTCATCCCTCTCCCAGCCTATTTATTTATTCATTTATTTATCTAGTTCACCCCCTGCACTGTACCCACTTAAAACCAAAAACTGTATAGTTTTCGTGCCTTTCTATGTTATTACAACTCAATTACAACTGACCTATGCCCAATCTCTCTGGTTTGTTCTTCCTACTTTCATACGTTACATGAACATAAACAATTCACACACACCTCGATTATTACACGCATACTCATTTATCACGATAACCTGAATTCATTAGATATTGGCATCCCATGCTTACTTGTCCCGCTCATCCCTTTCTTACAGACATCTCTCCTTTATTATACCAACACATATATATTCAAAATCTATGTTAACCATTACCACATTTTATTCCATAATTTTTCCTATTTCTTAAATTATATTCATAGAAGAATTCTAAATTTATATTTACAGTCAGCCATGAAAATATTCAACCAGGTATATCTCAAATTTTTACCAATCGAGTCTTTTATTTTTATTCGATGATCTTTCCTGTTTTTTAAATTATATTCATTGAAGAATTCTAAATTTATATTTACAGTCAGTCAGAAAAATATTCAAAAGGTATATCACAAATTTTTACCAATCGTATCTTCCATTTTTATGTTAGTGGTGGATGAAATATCAATAACAATAAAAACAATTCTTTATTTAATTACAAAAATGATCAAACACAAATATTAAGTATAAATTTAATTAATTTCTCGCAATCACATGCTCACACCTATTTTCACTATTACGACTGAATTATAACTGACCTATGCCTAATCTCTCTGGTTTGTTCTTTCTACTTTCATACGTTACATGAACATACACAATTCACATACACCTCGATCATTACACGCATACTCATTTATCACGATAACCTGGATCCATTATAAGATCAATATTAATAGGATTAATAACTTTTACAAAGTTAGGAATTTATGGTAAATATTTAATAATAATTATAATAATATTTAATAATACTTGTCCCACTCATCCCTTTCTTACAGACTTCGCTACTTTATTGTATCAGCACATATATATTCAAAATCTATGTTAACCATTACCACAGCATTTTAATATAAAATAATTCTTAGGTTTATATTATCCTATAGCGATAAGCGCGGTAAATTAAGTTTAATTTTAAATTGCGAGTGCTTCACGCTGGAGCCATCGATCTCAGAGTCTAAGTTTTCATTTGTAACCCTTTTATACATTTTGGTTCCTTTTTTAAATGTATGTTATTGTATCTAATTTCTGACGCATTAAATTTATGTTAAATTGGAGAAAAGGTATTATATCAGCTTCCCTGTTTCACAAGCTGGAATAAAACATGGCCACCGAATATTTCTGACAGGGTAAGTGAAACGTTGAATTATGGGAAGAGAATGAAACAGCCTAGTTTCAACGATAGTTTCCAAATTTTTCATCTTTTCCTTCCTTTCCCCATTTTTCTTCTCCCCTTTTCCTCCATTTTTCTTTTTCCTTTTCTCATTGCTTCTATCTTCCTTTTCATTTTCGTGAGCTACTATTACTATTCTCTTGCTTATTTTCATTCGCTTCGTTGCACGATTTGGAATTGGAATTGACACTCGAAGAATTGTGACTTGGAACCTGCTTTTCTTCCAAATTGTTGTCAATTGAACCAACAATCCAAATTGTTGTCTGTGAGTCAAATTGAAAATTACGACTCTAATTTTTTCTTTTTATTAAACGAATTAAAATAAAAGTTTTTAATTGCGATTTTAATTTTAATTTTAGAAGTTGATCTTTAAACAATGAACCTTGTAACATAATATATACATCGTTGGTTATCATTAACATCATTTGACGATATTAGCAAAGATTTGGAAATTTCGACAGTGAAGGAAGAAATTCGCTGTAAGGAAATAACTGCAAATCATTCTAAGAAATCACCTGCCAAAGTTTATACAGACAAGATGAAAAGATGTTCCCAAAAGGCACAACGTTGGGTGTTCTGCAGTCGAAATTCGTATTACCAGTCAGCTTTCGCTGAAAATCCGCTCGGGGAAGCGGAAGTTGCATACCAAGCTAAGTATTGAAAAGATCACGTGCAAGGAAGGTTGTTTTTGTAACGAGACGGGGCTCACGATGAGGAGATGGTTTCAGGGTTGACGGCTGCATCACAGATGGGGGATTAGAGTTGCGTACGAAGAGGAGAATGGGCCAGAATGAAACTGCTCGAGCAAGGCTGGCATCCTAAGAGACAGCTGTGTCGTCGAGCAGTATGTAATAGTTATTGGATGGTCAGGATAGTGATTATGAGCACTGACTATGGTAAAAAGTAGAAAACGGTATGTGTATGAAATTTTTGATCCAGACAGACAAACTGATTTCTTTATGAAAATTCTTTGGCTGATTTTTTTATTTGCAATTTTTTTTATCAAAAGAGTGGGCTTTATTTAAGACGTAGATATAAAATTTCAGTAATTTAAGTTATTTATTTCCAAGTGTAATTATGGAATTTTATAAAATATTTAATATTGATTACATCAAAAGCCAAAGAAAGAGGAGGAAAAATAAATTAATCAAGTGTAATATTGGAGAAAATTTTTTAAATTTCTTCTCCATTCATCTAAACAATCATAACATGTATACCATTAAAACTTCTATCTCTCATTCTTTCTCTAATAAATACAAAATCCCAAAAAACCAAAATGAAAGAGAGAAATAAATTAATGAAATGTAATATTCGTGAAAAATTTTTTAAATTTCTTCTTTCATCTGTCCAATTATAACAGGTATGCTATTAAAACTTCTATCTCTCTCTCACTCTTTCTCTAACAAATCTAAAGCCCAAAAAACCAAAATTAAAAAGAGAAATAAATTAATCAAATATAATATTCGAGAAAAATTTATTGACTTTTTCTTCTATCTGACCAATTCTAATAAATATGCCATTACAATTTTTCTCTCCCTCCCTCTCTCTCTTTCTCTCTATCTATCTGTCAATCTATCTATCTATCTCTCTTTCTGTAACAAATCCAAAGCCTAAAACCCAAAAAGTAAAATAAATTAATCAAGTGTAATATTGGAGAAAATTTTTTAAATACCCTCTTCTTTCATTTGACCAATTATAGCAAATATATAATTAAAACTTCTCCCTTTCTCTCTGCCTTCTTTCTCTCTCTCGAACAAATCCGAGGCCTGCCAAAAAGAGAAAAATAAATTAATCAAATTTAATATTCCAGAGAGAGTTTCATGTTTCACTAGTAGTGCGTAATTAACGCGGGCCTGGCCAATTTCACGTGCAATTTATTCGCGCAATTAACGAGTGGATCGTTAAATTTTTTCCTTCTTTCCTTCCATCGCCTAACGAAATACCGTCGCGTCTCTCGACACCTTTGTATCTCTTTCGTCCACCCCTGCACTCCGCCCCTGGATTCCGGCCCGCTGTTCCGGTACTCCTTCCCTTCCTGTCCGCCATCGGACAGAAGTCCGTTGTTTCAGCTAGCCGGTATTTATCTCGTGCAGATTAAAGGGAGAATAAACGGCGAGCACAATAAATAAACTTCGAGCGTTTCTACGTTCTCCAGCGTATACCGGGTGTCTTGTTAATCGTGGTGCAGGAAGAAAGGGCGGAAACATACATGGAGAATGTAAAACAAAATTGTTTCCTGCTACTCTTTGTTATGAGAGGAAACAATTCGAAGGTTTCATTCGCTTGTTTTTATTTTCTTTCATTTTCGGTCTGTTCTCGATTTTGGTTTATGGAATTCGAAACGCTTTTGGTTTAAATTTTTTAATTTCTCAATTCTACTTTTGTTTGAAGATTTGTCGTATTTTAAATTAATGCTAGGTGACTTTTGTGCACATATGGTGATTTAATTGAGAATTCTTTATTTATTATACGAGGTTTCCGAAATTTTTTACTTTAATTTTTATTATCTTAAAATTTCAAATTGATATATCGATTTTGATTTAGAGAATTCGAATTGCTTTTAGTTTTAATTATTGAATTTTTGAACTTTTGATTTGTTTGAACACTCTTATTTCAAATTAGTGTACAGTGAGTTTTGTATATGTGTGGTGAGTTAATTGAGAATTTTTTATTTATTATGTGATGTTTCCGAAATTTTGTATTCAATTTTTATTGCCTTCAAATTTCAAATTAATATGTAATGCAGATTGTGTACAGATACTGTTTATATACAATGTAGCTAAGATTTCTAATTACAATTTTTATCTCATATAAATTGTTGGAATAAGTAAATTGCAATTAAATATTGTACTTGTCCTCTAATTGCAAATGCACCCTAATCTTCAAGAAAAATTCAAGAGTTCATATGGGGTGGCTTTTTGAATAAAATCGATTGTATAAAATTCAAATTATTTTCCCTCGAGAATATTTATTATATTTGAATTACCTATTCGTGGAGAAAATCAAGATTTTTAAGATTTCACGCAAGTATTATAGAATATTTTTTATTTGATTTCGAACAGAGAATCGCATACTTTGTTATTACAGTGTAGTTATTGAGGTAGCATGAATGGTTGTTCGAAATCGCTCGAGCTTTTTGCGTAGGACGTCTCAACCATGATTGGTGATTGTTTACCGCGAATCTTTTGTGGTGCGATCAATGAAATGTATTCCAGATAGCCGTGTTTGTAAAAAGGTTTTACTGAAAATGGAACCACGTCGACAAACTAGATTAAAATGCTTCTCAAAAGGAAGAAAATCATTTCCTTATCGAGTGGATCTAATTATTAAATTAAATAATTGTAATAATTAAATATTCAGACAATTTTTATACTAATTGAATATATTATCTCTGTATAATACATTATTTTTAATCTTCTTCTTTTTATTCTATTCGAATCACCATTCATTTCTTCGACCGGAATAAAATATAGAATTTTGCAGAAAAATAATTCTTATTTATACAGAAGAAAATTTATAATTGAGTCGTTCACTGCACAAATTAATTAACTCCATAAAACAAAAAGTGGAGGAACGCAATGAAATAATGTATATTGTTTTTTAAAATTCCCTTTATAATTTAAATCAAAATAAATATCGTAGAATGCATAAATACAAATGTAACTTTCATCTAACGGTATATAAAATTTATAAGAAAAAATAGCCAAAAGGTAATCGTTAGTAATGTTACCATTTTTATGTTACTGGAAGAATTAATCGATTTGGCAAGTGAAAAAAGTAATAAATTTAAATTTTACTAAATTTTGCTTAAATTCTGATAAGACGGCACTAAAAAATTCACCGTTATCATTCGTGGCTTGCTAGTGCATTTGAGTTGCATTATTGCAACGATTTACATTAGAGTACGGAGTTAATCAAAGTGACCTGTGAAATAAATTATTTATTATTCAGTGGCCAAAAAATTTTTGTCGTTTAATAGTGTTGATCTTAATTATCAGGGAAGGTTATTATAAATATAAAAAGTTATGACTATACTAAGTGCTTTGACACTTAAATTTAAGATTTTCCAAAAAGTGGAGTTAATCGATTTGTGCAGTGAACGACTCATTTGTAGCTGACATGGTGTAAATGGAAAGTTCCGTGTCGTCGTGACAACAGGCTGAAAGTATTAAGAGGTATCAAAATGACGAGTATCTCAAATGACTAATTACTGGCAACAACGATCCATATGAATAATTAATGGCGGAGAAAACGTTCCGTTTGGTTTCGGCATTACTAGACCTACACATCAAAAGCGCAAAGAGACTCTGGAAATTTATTATGGCAAGCAAGCTTTATTAATTATATCGTACAGAAATTATGAAATTAATTCATTTATTAATTTCCATCATATCATAGTCACTCTTTAAATTAATTAAAAATTATCGAAATCTCGAAACAGTAAATCGTTCGTACCATGTTTAAATTCACGAGAGCTTGGATCGGACCAGATCGATATTGATTAAAATTAAAATTGATATTACTCGCATAGGATACAGCGAATAAGCGAGGAAAATGAACTCGTAAGCACCCTGTTTATTTCGCACGAAACGAGTCTCCGTGTTTTTTCGATAGCTGCTCTTTGAACGACACTTTAATTGCAATTTCGTCCTTTTTTGCCTTTCTTTCATGCATCACAAACACCGCGTTTAGCAATTTTGCGTCCCGATACGCTGGTTTACTGGCAAATGAAATTTTTTTCCAAACGGAACAAAAACTGGGAGAAATTAAAAAGCTAAATTGGGAAACACGTAGAAATGTTGGAGGGAAAAGAGTCATTGTCGAGTAGGAAATAATTGTCACGCGTTAGTCGCGACAGGTGTTCATAGACGATAAATTAATAAAAATTCGGTGGAAAGAAAGGATATTGTAAATATCGTTGAATTTGTCAGTAGCGTGCTTCACTTTTGCACGAATTTATTCGGTTCAACATTTAATTTCGAGAAATATTTATAGCAGGTTAAAACTTTATTCGACCGAACATCGGATAACATCCATGTTAATTAAATTCCAATTAAAAACTTCGAGTAGGTTCGGTACCTAGAGATAAAAGTTTTAAACGCGTTATCCTTTAATGTGTTTAATTATAGTGAAACGAGGAAAATTATATGATACAAAAATAAATAATAATAACATGATTATATTGCAAAAATATTATTTCTTACGATATTTAAGATAAAATGAATAAAATAATTCAATTTCGTTGTTATATTTTTTAACAAAATTATATAGTATAAAAATAAATTAACAAAATCTTTTTAAAAATAGAAAAGAAAAAATTTGTACATTCTTTAAGAAAATGAAAAAAGAAATATTCCTAAATTCTATAATTAAAAATAATATATCACAAAAATATATAACTTTTAAGATAATTATTCAGAAAATAAAAAATTACTCTACAATATTCATAGTAAAATGTATAAAATAATTCAATTTTATTATCATACTTTCTAATGAAATTAAATTAAAATCCTTTTAAAATAATTCCAATAAAATAATTATAATTATTATAATATTTTCTATCAAATCATGTATCAAAAGAATAAATAACATTGAGATAATTATACTAAAATTCATCTATAAGTATTACTATCTAAAATAATTACAATAAAAAGAATAAAATAATTCAATTCCACTAATATATTTTCCAACAAAATTACGTATTTATGACAAAAATAAACTAGCGAAATCTTTCTAAAAATAAGATACAGTACTGTGTCTAAATACTACGTGAACATTATCTACATTATATCTACCCCCTTGCTATAATTTTCTCAACTTACAACTCCATCAACACACTGTAACATACACATCAAGCACCCCTTATCCACCCCAAACAGACTAGCTACATTTCTTTCTTCTGTTTTCACCTTTCCTTAATTATAACTTATTTCACGTTAGCCATGTTGAGAGTTTTTACACTTTTTGTACTAGATGTTTGTAATTTTCCATTTAATTTATAGGCGCTTATTATTACACGAACTCTTCTCGTTTTACATATTCTTTTACCAGCATCCAAGACTATAAAAGTAAAACGGAGATAGCTGCGTGTCATCCCATATTTAATTTCATTAACCACTTGCCTCAAAATTCACACCGATTCCGTCCCGCGATACTATTCCCGCTTGCCATTTAATTCGATGAAACCCGCGAGGACCTCGAACCGCCTGCATCCCTCGACGACACCCCAAATTAAATATTTCACGCTCGCGCGCGAAACCACGAATGCGGGTGAGAGAAAAAAGGCAAACCGCTAATTTCCCGATAAACAATACATTCTTCGCGGATTTCCAGTGTTCAGGACAGTTTCAAACTCCCACTGTCAGTGAAATAGCATGAGTGTGATATCCATGATCGATAGTCTATAATTTAATTATATAGATAATTTTTACTGTATACAAGGACTTTATGGGAACATTCCTGAGAATGAATATTGAAAAAATACTCAACGAATATTAAGAAAGATATCAATTTTTATTATTTATTTCAGCAACAATAAAATTTTGTTCTTAGTCTTTCGAAATTTTAAATTAATTAATTTTTAATTTTTAATTTCGAAAGGTTAAGAACAAAATTAATTTTAAATTAATTAATTGCGTAATTAACGAGCCTAAAAATTAAAAGATATCAGGATTTTGACTAATGTAATATTTTTTTAAATATATTTATCCGTATTTTTTTGGAATCTGAACCAAAGTTAACACGTTAAGTGCCACGCTGATCCCCAGGGACTAAAAGGTGCTAACTTTTGGTGTTAAATTCTTCGCCATCTTTGGACCTAACGTTTGGGAATTCCTATTATAACAATTGGTACAGTATTGGTACTAACTACAGTATTGGGACTACAGTATTGGTACTGCAGGCCACGAGTGCCATAAATGGTACATACAGACACGTTTATTTATGCGCTGAAAATATGTTTTATGACAAATTTAATTCTGAGAAAAATATATTTCCACTAAAAGAATGAGGCATTATACAAAATGCAGTATAGAACAAAGCACATAAATTTGTTTAATTGTTATATATACAATAATTATTAATGGCACGTAATAGTTGACTTTATTAAAGCAAGAGATGGATAAAAATGGCTTATTCGGGCAATCACTGCAAAACGTCACTACTCTTCTAGTTCTTTTTACTAATCGAAAATTTTCCAACTAACTGACTTTTACAGTCGAACCGATCGCAGCTCCACGTGTACCATAAATGGAACACGGTGTGATAAATACTCTAAACAAGCTAATTACTTATGGATTGATGATGTAATGACATATTGTGTGATAATATATCAATTTTTAACCAAAATTACAAATGGCCTAGAGATCATGTCGGGCAAGAACAGCTGGTACGGAACGTGTTAACCTAACCTGCACGCGTACTCGGTGAATATTCGAAGTCGATTTTCTCGATAACGAAACTTCGAATGAAAAAATTTTATTCTTCATTTTCGATTTGTTTTTTCATGTAAAATGACTCCCTTCCAGTTGTTTTATCGTTGCTGATAGTATAATTCATAATATCAATTTCTGTTTGTCGAAAGAGTTTCCGAATTTTATATTTTCCTAAATCCGAAAATACCAATTTTCATGGTAATCATGTGTTTTCGTATTTTGGCGAGCTTTTTGGCGAAATTTCCTGCGCGTTTCATCGCGTCTCAATGAATCTTCGGTTCAATAATTAGTACAGTAGCGAGAAAAATCCGCACGGATCAGTTCCTTTTGCTAATTAACCCAGGGCGATAGCAAAGCAGTGCCTCATTAGCAACGCGTACCTTTTCCGAATCGGTGTCCGAGTATACGCGACCAGGTCGATACTCAGGTGGCAGGTATGCCCGAGCTGTTTCCAGTGGTGCGAGCTGCAGCAAGACTCTACCACGTGGTGTTAGCTCCAGGGTATGGGGAGTCACCACTGGACCGGCTCTCGAACCACCCACCACACCACCGTCTGCAACAGATATTTCATGGAAATTTATTTGACACAGTTCATTGGAAAAAAGAAATGAGAAATAAAGAATATAATAATTACATAAATAATTAAATAGAATATTACAATAGTAATATAATTACAGTAATAACAATTATTTAATAATTTATTTAATAATTATAGGAATAATATTAATATTAAACCTATTATATACAGTAATATAGTATTAATATTAAACCTATCATGACTGATCAAATGAACGACAGATTAAAAAATGACAGACGGAAAACTTTGAAGAAAATGAGATAAATTGATATTGAAAAATTGATAATACTTATGTTAAAGGAAAAATCACGAAAACAAATGACTAGAGAGATATCGTTGAATGCAGAATTTTTAGTTAAATATCTAGAAGCAACTGCTCTGACAAGTTTACTGTCAAGAAAATAGAAAAGTGAGAGTAAAAAATTAAATTTAAGATAGTAATTATTACAGATAAAATTGAAAATAAAAAATAAAATTAAGTAAAGACAGAGTAAAAATGTTTTAACAATGAGTTACAAAATAATCACATCAAGCATATGTGTAACTTTGCTATTTGATCTCAGTTTTGTGATTGACGATGGATATGTTGACTTTGTACTTGGTTCTGTATAATAATAACTAATAAAGAGAGAGCAAGTCCTTGCGGTCACCGAAGTAATTGAGACTTTGCAGGTTTGTAGATTTCGTTATGCAGTTCAAGAATATATATCATTATAGTCGCAACTACTCAATTGTTTTTGAGATATTTATGATTAAAGTTTTATCACATTTTTAACTACAGATTTATGTCAAATAATTTTCAAATGGAGTTGTGGACGGCGACATTCGAAAATTCTTATGCTGGATGTCCGGGGTTCGATTCCTGTCCATAGTTAGTAGTTTTTCTATCTATTTTTTATTTTGTATTCATTTTTCGCCTATGAAACCATTGCAAATAAACAACTGTAAATAAAATTTCTTAATAAAAAAATGTATTTTTTACGCTTTTTTATGCAAGTATACATTTATTACAAAATAATAAGAATATTATGCAAGAGAAACAGTTTTCTATAGCAATCTTATTTACTATAGAAAGAAAACGAAAATGTAAATAATCTTTAGACACAGGAAATGGCAGATGACAAATATGCAAAGGTACGCCTTTACAACGTAATTGTAAACACTCATAATCACAGAAATTAAATGATTTTTTAGTTTTTTTCCAAGTGAACAGGAGAGTGCATAGGAAGTGAGAAAAAATTGCAAACAAACGCCGGAAGCATAGATGTATCCATGCACGTGTGCCTGCA